TGTGTGTGTGTGTGTGTGTGTGTGTGTGTGTGTGTGTGTGTGTGTGTCTTGCCTGTATGCATCTACATGCATCAGTGTGTACACTGCCAGGGGAGGCCACAAGAGGGCACTGGATCCTTTGGAATGGAAATCAAAAGTTTATGAAGTGCCACCTGGGCGCTGGGAACTAAACCCTTGTCCTCTGCAAGAGCAGCCTGTGTTCTTAATTGCTACGCCTTCTCTTCAGCCCCAGAGATAGGGTTTGAACTCAGGTCAGGTGCAGTGGTGCACGCCTGTAATCCCAGCACTCTGGAAGGCGGAGGCAGGAGGATCTCTTTGAGTTCCAGGCCAGCCTGGTCTACAAAGAGTCCAGGATAGCCAAGGCTACACAGAGAAACCCTATCTCGAAAACCAAAACCAAAAAAACAACCAAAAACGAAAAAAAAAAAGAATCTGAACTCAGGTTTCCCTGGCCCAGGTCAGAGACAGAACTCTGCCACACAGTGCCCTGCAGCAGGATTCAGATTCCACGTCCGTGTTTAGCACCACTCTCGTCTACAGACCCTGTATTTCTCTCCCTCCCCATGTACCTAAGAGTACCTCCAGTAAGACAGAGGTTCCAAGTGTAGACAGATCTACCCAATATCTACTACCTCGCCCCAGATAATCCAGCTGAAGTTGCAGAAAGCCTAGGAAATAGTGAATAAGCCAAAAACATTTTACTACCATGTTCGTGGTTAGATGTGCTGCTGCCGCGGGCATAAGCCTATGTTATCTGAGAATTAAATGACTGTGGTTGGATCTTAACTCTGCCATTCATATTCTCTCTCTCTCTACTATACTTAAGATGGAACTCACTGTGTAGACCAGGGTGGCTTCCAACTCAGAGATCCTCCAGCCTTAGCCTTCTCAGTGATAGGCTTGAAAGCCTGTGCCCCTACACACTGACATCTTTAAAACAGTGTTATCCTGGATACACTTCCAACCTTCCCAGCCTTAACTTCCACATCTGTAAAATGGGACTATGTATATAATGCCACAGCCAGGTTAGCATGCTAAGCACTCACTACTGTGTGCTACTTATGTGACTGACACAATTGTGTATCAATAAACTGTGGAGTAGGCGCTGCTTCTTATGATCACCTCGGCTCAGAGTGAAGCAGCTTGCTCAAGTGGTGGACGGAGACCTAGCCCTTAGCAATGGATTCAGAATCCATGTCCTTTGGTCTCTGTGCAAGTAAAAGGCCTAGGAAATAGAAAACTAGCACTGGCCTCCATGACTATCCTTTCAACTCCAGGCCACCCTTGCAGTGTGTGGCGGTTTAAGTGAGAAATGTCCCCACAGGCTCATGTATTTGAACATTTGGTTCCCCGTAGGTGGCGTATTGGGGAAGTTACAGAACCTTCAGGAAGTGTAGCCTTGCCGGAGGAAAACCAGCTTTGAGGTTTATAACCTCATTCCACTTCCTGTGTGCTCCCTCTGCGTGATCAAATAGCTCTCTCTCTCTTTCTGCTTCCTGCCCCCACGCCGAGCCTTCTCTCCCCGCTCCCGGGATGGTCTATCCCTCTGAAACCTGAACCCCAAAATAAACCCTTTCTTCTGTAAGCTACTTTTCATCACAGGAAGAGAAAAGCAAGGCACTGTGTTAGGTGGTAATAGCAATGTCTTATAGCGTGCCCACACCCATCACAAGCCCGCCCGCCCACAGACCCCCTGAAGCCCTCTGAGGGCCGCACACCGCCACCCTTACCTGAGTTGGCCAGGGCCAGGGCCTTGAGCGTCACAAACTCCTCCTTCTCAACCTTGAGCTTCTTGTACCTGCGTACCAGCTGCAGGATGGCTCGGTACAGCTCCAGCAGCCCCACGTGGCGGGAGTGCTCCTCGTCCATGATATAGTCCTCTGCGTACGCCAGCTTGTCATCGTAGGGCAGCGAGCGGTACACGATACCCAGAATGAGGATTTCCATCCAAGCACTCTGCAGCAGGCTCATCTGGTCCCCGAGCGACAGGTTGGAGAAGCCTGAAAAAGGGTTTGGGAGACCACGATCAGAATTGGGTCCAGGGGCTTCCTTGGGACTCCCCGGAGGGCAGACTTGGGGCAGACTGTGCCCCTGCATCTCCGGACCCTGCTGGGGGTGGGGGAGCCCTGTGGTGCCGATGCCACCCCCTCAGCAAATGAGTCACGCTGGAATTCATGGAAAAGACTTACATAACAAGAGCCGGGTCAATGTTGACAGTTATTATGGCCATGCTTGTTGGTTCTAGGTGCGTTTGTAATTGAAGGAGCTGCTGAATTAAAATCAGGATTGGGGGGGGGGGCAAGGTGGGAGGGGGATTCTCTAACACTCTGCTCACTCCAGGGACGTTCTCTGCTTTAAAACCAGACCCTTTCAGCCAGGAAGGAGGATTTAGTTACTCATGGCCGGGGCAGAAACTGCTGGGAGGGCAAGGGCTCCAAAGACAGCCTGTGAGCACGTGGGCACATGTGCCTGCACTGTCTTCTCCCTTGGGAAGACTCAGCTGATGTGTTCTGGACCCTAGCACTCAAAAACACTACCTCCTCCCTCCAGGGAGGGGAAATGGGGGTAAAGAGGGTGTATGTGCTGGCTGGTTTTGCTTGTCCACTTGACACACGCTAGAGTCACAGAGGAAGGAGCCTCAGTTGAGGAAATGCCTCCATAAGATCCAGCTGTAAGGCACTGCCTCAATGATTGATGGATGGTAAGGGCAGGGCCCACTGTGAGTGGTACCAGCCCTGGGCTTGTGGTCCCAGGTTCTATAAGAAAGCAGGCTGATCAAGCCATGAGGAGCAAGCCAGTAAGCAGCACCCCTCCATGGCCTCTGTATCAGCTCCTGCCTCCAGATTTTAGCCCCACTTGAGTTCCTGTCCTGACTTCCTCCAACGATGGACATCTGAAAGTGTAAACCAAATAAAATAAGCTCCTTTCTACCTAACTTCACAGCAACAGAAGCCCTAAGACCCGGGGCTCTGAAATCATGACACCGCCCTGTCCAATGTGCTGTGGGCTGACCTTGATGAGGCTAACTTCTGCAAGCCTGGACCTCTTCGTCCACGGAATGGCCACAGGAGTAGAGGATGCTTCAGAGTGGCTGGCTGTGAGCTACTCAGGAAGAAGACTACAGAGCGCACGCACGGGCTCTTGTTAATGTTGAGCCATAGGTCTGTGTCTGGCAGATGAGGGTGACACACTGTGTGTGGACTTGATTTAGGCAAAATCAATTAACAGCTTGATTTATGAGAAGGCAACAGAGAAGAGGAAGTTTGGCAATTTCAACCTTCCTAACCACTGAACAGGGGGCAGTAACTTCTCAGCGGGGCTCGCCCAGAAACAGGGAGATTAGTCTAATTCTAAGCAAGCTAGATTTATGCAGGAAATAGCTGGGCATGGTTATGCATACCTATAATCCCAGTGTGTGCGGAGGAGGATCTGGAGTTCAAAGCCAGCCTTTGGCTCAAAACAAACAAACAAACAGGGCTGGGAATAGTGAACTTGTAGAGTGCTTGCCTAGCATGTGTGAAGCTCTAAATTCAACTTCCAGTGTGTGGAAGGGAGGAGAGAGAGAAAGGGAGGGAGGAGGAGAAGGAGGAAGTAAAGGAGGAAGGAGGGAGGCTGGGAGAGAGAGACACACACAGAGACACAGAGAGAATCCGCAAAGCCATTTGCACAAGGTGTCATGTGCAGCATAAATCAAGGAGTTTATTTCTGGCTAATCCTGCCAATGAAGGGCTTAGGACCTAGCCCCGCCCAGTCGTTGCTGCTGACGTGGGGGGTGCCATGAGGACGAAAGAACACGTGTGAAGACTTCACACCACTTCTGGTATACAGAGAGCCAGCATCCCCTCTGCCAAGGATGATGGAGGAGGCTGCCTCTATCCTCATTTGTGTGGTCAATTATTACCTCCTTCTCTTTGGACTTGCCCAGATCCTGGATTGCCCATCTCTTAGGGCTTGTCTGGTCTTTGTCTTTTTACCCACCCAGGACAAATCTTGGGGGGGGGGGGGGGGGATACACTTGAGGTTGAAGTCAATTAACTTTGCCTTTATTTTCTAAGTCCAACTATTATGGACCCTGGACCTGTCTATACAACCTTTGCCTTGGATCACCACCTCGCTGCCAGATTCTATGGGTGACCAATCACAGAGCAGGAGCGGACCCACCTACTACAGGGAGCTTTGGTGACCGTGCCTCCTTGGGGGCACAGAATGGGACACAGGGGTTAAACTGTGTCTGTTCCTGCCCACATTCTCAGTAGCACTACAGAGGGTATGTGGCTGCCTTTGGGGGCCCAGGAAGCCGGAGGTAATAAAAGATAGATAGAAATGGACATCCAATTTCCCTTATCGGGTCCATGAGTAGGAGACAGGCTTTGGGTGACATTAATTAACAGATACCAATCAGCCAGCACGGGAGGGTGTGGGTGGGGAGGAAGTAGACTGCGCAGGGAGGGGTAGTTTGAGAGAAGAAAGACTGGGGAATATGGAGGAGGCACACAGGGGTGAAATTAACAGACAAATGAGCTGGAGGGCAGTGGTGAGGGTTGGTGTCCGGCACAGCCAGGCTCTGGGGATGCGAACATGCCCATGGCTCTCGCTCATCCCTCAAGGCAAGACCTCTGCAAGAATGTTACAAACAGGCCTCTTTCTGTCCTCTCTTAGTGCCCGATAGAGACTGATGGTTTACTCAAAACATAACTCCCAGCCTCACCAACCAACATGGTGGCCCACACCTTTCATCCCAATATTTGGGAGGCAGAGGCAAGCCAGGGTCTTGAGTTCCAGGCCAGCCTTACAGACATGCTCCTGAGCCTTCCTACCTACCCAGCCCGACAAGCAGTCACAGGAAAGGACAGATGGATGCTACAGCATGACCCTGGGATGGCAGGAAGACAACTTTAAACACTTGCTTAGAGCCCCATTTAGATCCTTGGACTCGAGTTTAGATCCCACATGGGCTTGGGGTCATACAAGGGGCTGCAGTGCCCTGGGGGGTTGGGGGTACCAGAGGCACCTGGAAAATTCTGGGCCAGCTGGGTGTGAGGTCTGAACAGCCAGCTCACCCTTCTCTTCTGTAACATCTGAGAGACCCTGGAGAGAGTTTCCGAAAACCCCAGCGCGCTCGGTGGCATGCCACATGCCACATGCCACAGCAAGTGTTTGCAGTCAGCCTATGAAACCATTTTAATGTTTTCTAACATTGGAGAAAAGAAACATTACAAGACAAACTGTGAGCCGACTTTAGCTAACTTTTGGAGAGGACCAGGGAGGAGGTGAGAAAGGGGGTGGTGTTAGATCACATTCAGAAAGTACGCCAGGCAGAAGGCTATGGGAGGGCAATGTGTGATACACACACACACACACACACACACACACACACACACACACACACACA